AAAAACTGGTATATTGCTTTGAATTTACTCAACTCAGTTAAGTGGAACCAGGTAACATAACATGCTTTGATAAATCCAACATTTCATTTTTTACAGTATACTTTTGGTTCAGCTTTGTAATCAGCTGTTGCTGTTTTTCTTTCTTGAAATGCAATTGGCCAGGTTCCTCACAAGGGGAACCAATCTCAGTCGTAGCTCACACCTGGGATAGATTTGGAATTACATCATCTTCATTGACGGTGGTGAGTTGAGCTCCARCTTTCATTTCAAACAGAACCCAGCAATGGTGATGGTTGAAGAGAGTAGAGAAACCAGCACACCCATGATCGTGTCTCAGCTCAATGTTTGAGATTTTAGGACTGAAAATAGTTCCTATCAGTTTAAACATCTTATGGGTTCACAGTGAATAAACTACATTTCTACATTTAAGAACTCCCCACTCACTTTATTGCATTTTTATGCTAAGTCTTTACAGGTGGTGTAGATTAGTGTGGTTCTACATGTTGATACATCACATGGTTTCTGAGAGCAACAAGGTTCTGTAAAATCACTCTGTACACAAGACAGCAATGTATTACACATTTTAATTTGTACTTCTGAATATTTGAGTGCATTTAAATGCATGTACTTTTGAATACTTAAGTATTTTCAAAAGTAAGTACTTCACTACTTTAACTAGAGTAAATTTTTGATGGGGTAACCTTTACTTGTAGTTGAGTAGATTTGACCACGAGTAGGCTATCAATACTTTTACTCAAGAACTAAAGTTGAGTTCTTTGTCCACGACTGACTCACTGTAGAAAACAGAACTTTGGCCATAACAGTCAATAGTGCAAATATTGTGTAAAAACTTGTGGTGAAAGGTGAGAGTGATTTAAACAATTCAACTTATCCCATGAGATCACACATAATGTTATTTACAAGCTTTGACSAAAACAGTGAAACCTCCATTATTTCTGATAAGATGATCTTTGTCTGAAACTCTGGTGCTAAAAGGTGGTGGACGATATTCATTCTTTAAATAAATGCTTGCCATACAGAACAACATATGTGTTCTTATTCAAGTCTGTAATGGGACACACCAGGTTTTATTTTGAAAAGGCCAGGCGGAAACAATGCAACGCGCTCTTTCCTGCGCTTGACGCTGGGTGGATTCCCCCAGTGAAGCGTCAGTATTTACATGAATGTTTCCTGGAGCCTTCTCGGACGCTGCTGTCCAGCTCAGACAGGGACTCAGCCCGTCTGTCGGACAGGTTATTGAAATATATATATTTTTAAATTTTACCCGTAAGTATATAACTCTGACTTGTGATAAAGACGCTTTGTAATCGCCAGGTTTTGGCTTGTTTTATGTGCGGTTTCCGGATCCGTGAAGCTGGCGGTTGATCAGCGTCTGTTGTGTGTGTGCACTGCAGTGGTGCGCAGCTCTGCCCGGAGGAAACCCCTGCGCGCCTCTCCTCTCCTCTCGGGCGGCCGCAGACAGCCGTGGATGGACGCTGAGTAGCAGGTATGGACGCAAAGCGCCCACCAAACATCCACATAGCTGTAGACGTGGAGGCTCGTTTGGTCCGTGTTATATATTTTATTATGCATTTCTTTTATTTACAGAGGGCTTCAGCACCCACTGAGGGTATATAGGTATATATA